GCTTCAAAATCTCAGAGGCAATGCTAAGGTTACCAAGAGCCCCAAATCAATATGGAAATACATGTTTATGAGCTTCTAGAGGAGATTTCAAGCCATAAAGCCCAAAAGCAAATCAAAGGGCGAGGAGACAATTTCTTAAAGCATTTTGAAGTCTTTGGCTCAGTCTTTTTGCCACCAAAGAGTTTTTGAGTCAGTAATCCTCTGAGCTTTCCCCTGCACAACAGCCCGGCAGGCACACGGTCTTCCGACAACTTTCGCCAGTGACTAAGACATTGAAGAGACTTGCCAGCAGCTTCCACGGTAACACTTGGCACAAGTATTTACACTAAACAGTATTTCCAGGTCACAGTTTCTACACCACATCCAAGGAGGTGGCCCCTCAAGGATGGACATCTGTGCCTGCCCTTAGAGGTCTGTCACATGCTTCCAGAAGCCACCTCCTTAGTCACTTATTAGCTTCACAGAAAGGACAAGGGTGGCTGCCAGGGGCCAGGGAAATGGGGGGAGGGGAGATGGGGGGTGAGTGTTTAATGGGTACAGAGTTTCAGTTTTACAAGATGAAAATCAAATGTGTGGATAAGTGGTGACGGTCACAATGGTTAAAATGGTAAATCCTGACATATATTTTACCACCAAAAAAAGGTACCTCCTCTGTGTAGCCTCCCTGGATCTTCATTCCTTTTAATCTGCAGCAGAATGAACTCTGCCTTCGTGACTCCCGCTCTGTGTCTTAGCACTGACTTCATGCTGCTTTGTGTAGTGATCAGTCATTTCACCTGTGATGGGACTGTATGCCCCCGGGGACAGGGCCTTCTAAGTGTCTCATTCATCTTAGGAGCCCACCTAGTGCCCTGTGATGCCAGGTGGGTGCTCTATAAAAGTGGATGCCCTCAATTTTCTTTCTTAAAAGATGGGAGGACTGTATCAGCCAACCAACAACTTAGAGGTTTCCTTCCTGCCAGATGGAAGAACGACTGTATATAGTTCTGAGTTTTGATCTGGTTTCCAACATTATTAGTGACTCAGGTAATGTCCCTTAACCCCCGTTAAGTCTTGGTTTCCTTATCTGCAAAATGGAGATTGTAATCCTGTTTTCTAGGGCTGTTGTGAGAACCAGAGAATACACACAGAAGCCTGGCCCAGAGGACGTGCTCAGGAGTGACCCCTCTACCTACCACGGTCCTGGATTTTTGGAAGAGCACAAAGAAGCCTGAAGCACTAGCTCACCCCCGTCCCCCCCACCCCACCCACAGTAAGCACTAACTGAGCCCCTTGTCGGCACCAGTCATGGGCCAGGCGCAAGATGACAGGCAGAAAGACTGTCACCGCCCTCATGGGGCACATGGTGTGGCCTGCCCTTCTCTGGCAAAGAGACCACCCTCTCCTACGTGGGTGCCACAGTGCTCAGGCCTGGAACAGCTGCCAGCTCCAGGGAAGGCTGGACTTTGGGAGCGCCGAGTAAGCAGTCTGCAGAAAGAAGGACTTTAATGAGCCATCAATTATTCCCAGCTCTCTTGGCACCCCCAACAGAAGAGGAGGGAGGAAAATGGTTGAGAAAGGGGACTGAGATACAAAGGGAAAAGACCCCTGCTGGGCTTGCCTCATCAGCGTTTTCCTGGGACCTCAAGGGATACATCAGCTGTCATCCTGCCAGCAAAACTTAGGAAATATGTAGGCCATAAAATCAAAGAAAAAGCTTGCATCTAATTAGGATGTTAAAAAAAAAAAAAAAAGGAAGCAACTCAAACTGGAAAACAAAATTAAAATCAAAGAGGACAGACTGATGAGCTGGTTTTCTTTATGAGGCTTTGTTTTCTCATGCTTTTTGATGGAAGGAAGGGTGGAGGAAGAAGGGGGAGGGAGTGAAGGCTTTTAAGGGGGAGGGCCTGAGCAGTCTAGCCATCCACCCCGCCAGCCAGCCTGACCAGTTTTTAACACCAACACAGCCCTGAGGGGATCGCTGGCTGCAGACAGGCAGGCCACAGGGGCTCCGCTCCCCCGCACAACACCACAGGCAGAAGGGCTTCCCTGAGGTGGGAGTGAGCCAGGGCGGGTGCCTGCCAGTGCACGCAAGGTCGATAACCCTTTGATATACTGTCCTATCCCTGGGCCATCTCTCTCTGCCTGGAATGTGTCTTTCCCCCAGAACACTCTTCCCAGTCCTGGGAGGAGCCTCTCCCTCCTCTGGGAGTCCACGGAATGGCCTGGCTCTCCAGAACTGCTCTTACCACTCCGTTAGCACACTGTTCACAACTTCAACCAGCACTTAGCACGTTGTAATTAGTTTCGAGTATCTCGACTGTGAACGTCTCAAAAATATGGCTCTTGCTTTTTCTTCTTTGCATCTCTAGTCCTGAACACAGAGCCCGGCACTCGGCAAATGCCGGCTCAGTAGCTGATGCAGCGTGTATGTCATTTAGCTTGAATTACGGCTGGTCACTTACACATCCGTGTCCCCAGAAGATTATAAACTCCACGAGGGCAGGCGCCGTGTGGCCCCTGAGTACAGTATCTAGCATGGTGCTTAGCCCCGAGACAAGTCTCAGCAAACGTCTGCCAAATTCAATTTGCACAAGGGTGGGGCTGAATTCAACAATATGTAAAATATTCGCTGGGTTCTCATTACGTGCCCAGCATTGCTCTGGGTGCTGAGGAGACACGTTGAACAAGCCAGACAACGTCCCCACGTCATGGAGCTTACATTTTAATGTATGAGACACACAAAAAGAGTAAACAAAGGCATAAATAAAAACAATTACACATCGGGATAAGGGCTAGGAAGGAAATAAACTGGGTGCTCCGATGGGAAGTAACAGATGGAGAGCGCTGCACGGATTCAAGATGGAGGCTAGAGGCGGGACTGGCGGGTTTACTACCCCACTGGCTGGGCAGCGTGATGGAGGGAGAACCGAAGGGCCGGCCTGAGGCCCTGGCAGAGCTCGGGGGAAAGAAAGCAACAGAGCAGAGAACCAAGAGTGGCGGGAACGAACGCGGCATGTGCGCAGGCCGCTGCATCAACAAATCTCCACTCCGCATCCAGTCTGTGCCCGACAGCTCACGACGCACTGGGGGGCTAGACCGGGACCTGAGGGAGACAGAAGCTGGCTCACAACAACCGAAAACTCTGAGTAACCTAAGGTATAAGTGTGAGGATTTCACAGAGGAAAACATCCACCTACTACATGTCAGTATCCATTAAAAACACCCTTTCTTTCTCAGAAGATCACTGTGTTGATTGCAGGGACGGAAGTGCAGGGAGAAGCCTGAATGCAAGACAGGAGAGCCGAGAGCGATGAAAAGTTCTAATTGAACAAGTGGGTGTTAGACGTAAACGCCATTTACAAACTGGAGTTGCCAATCACCACAGCTTCACCTCGGGGAGGAGGCAGCCTGACATGCTGTGTAGTAATTCACGCGAGCGAGACACGGAGCGGGGAAGGAGCACCCAGGATGCCGCCGTGCTGGGCTCACAGGGTGCTGGGCTTGCTTCCTGAACGGTTTCCCTTTCCTCTTTCTCTGAGGGAGAAAACGAGACCCCAATACCTCAAAGTCTCTGTCTGCAACACGGACACAGTGGAGGTCCCACTGCCACCGGCCTGGGGTGGCCGTGCTAAACACGGGGTTTCCTGCTCCCATGCCTTCGCGCACACTGTTCCTTTGTCCTGGGATGTCCCGGTCCCAGTCTCTAAGACCCAGCTCGATGCCACTTTCACGAGACTTCCCGTAAGATTGTAGCCATGCCTCACTTACGATAATGATGATGACAATTATCATCATCATATTTCATAATATTCATAATAGCTAACATTTACGGAGAACTTATTAAGGGTCAGACATTTCAATCTATCATCTTATTTAATCTTCTCACCCATCCTATGAGGTCACAAGAGCAATTGGGTATCTCACCCCAGGTAACACAGTAAGTAACAAGGCCAGGATTCAGTCCCAGGAGCCGGATCCCAGAGACCATGGCTCTTAACTTCTCTTCACTTTATTGTATGTACCATTTATCTTCACATTTCATCTCCCACCTGTCATGGGAGTTATAAGCCACTTACAGGCAAACCCTTTGAGTAAATTTAGCCTACTCCTTCACCTTAGAAATGGGCAGAACATGGGCCAGAGCGGGAAAATGAAAATCTGCCCACAGCTACCAGTCTACCCTGGCTCTCTCTGATCTCTGGCAGGAGCCGTGTCCAGTACGGGCCTCTACTGCTGTGTGTGTGAGTCTGTGCTAAGGGGCCCACGGGCACAGAGTCCAGCTCAGGTACCCTTGTGATTGCGAGCCTGCACACCAATGCAGGCCTTGGGAGCCTCCAGCTGAGGAAGGTCCCAAAGATGTCACAGCATTGGAGGGACTCCCTGGGGTAGCTGAGGGCAGGAGGGACGCTCACCTGACTGAGCACTATCTGTGTGCCAGGCACTATCTACCGCTGGGTACGAACTGGACGCTGTTTTGTAGTGTCTCCTGAACCTTTGCAAAAGTTCTTCTAGATCACACTCGCACGGCTGGGGGAAGGCAGAGCCAAGGCTGGATGGCAGGTATGTTCTTTCTGCTACACCACACTGCCTCAGATTCACTTCCTGCTGTCTTGCATAATTCCGGGTATTTCCTGTTACTTCCTTGGTTTTTTCCCCCTAAGAAAGCAATTTCCTTCCACTACATGTAGTTTGGAACTGGGCTTTTTGTTTCTTGCTTTGTCTTCTTCTTTATTTTTTTTTTCTTTATTTTTAATTTTTAACAAATATTTCTAAGCCCTGCTGTCTGTTATGTATTTTAAATGCTGGAACTGAAGGGTCAGAGGCATAGAATGAATACCTAGGCCAGTCCTCTGTATCTGGACAAAGATGACCTGGACACACAGTGCATGTGACAACACACTTAAGCCTGCAGTGCAGAGAATGCTGTGCACCGAATGCCAGGGATATTGACAGAGACTCAGAAAGTAAGCATCACTTAGCTCTCCCAGAGCCTCAGATACAAGCAGCACACAACTCACCCTTGATGATGTGCCTGACGATTTTGATGGAGCTCCCTCGCATGTTCAGGATCTGGTGAACCCTCTGGCGAATCTATGAGGAAGGGGAAGGGAGGGGAGAGAAAGGAAAAGCACGGTTTGTCTTGGCAGACACCAGCATCCATCCTGTGCAGCGTGCACCTCGTGCCCACCCGATGGAGCGGGCCCACACAGAGTGCAGGGAGTTAAGGAGGGTGGATCCGCTTCTTTCTTGGAGTCTCTGCCCAGGCAGGGGGCCAGGAAGGAGGTAGGCATGGACAGGCCCGTCAGGGGCAGCCCCTCTTACCTGGGGCACATTGGCATTGCAGATCTCTGCCATGATGTAGCAGATGTGCTGAAGGACAAAGAGCCCCGCATCTAAGCGCCGAAGGTAGAACTCGTCCTCCGTGTCGTTGTCTATGATCTCCCCGCGCCGGACCATGTCCTGCAAGTGAATGAGCATTTGGGACAAATGAACTGGCCAGTGAGCCCATAATACACAAAAGAACAGCAACTACACCACCACCGCCACCAGAAGACCATTCCACCATGATGTCTCTTGCTCCTCCCATTATCTTCTAAAGTACCTTTCTTATGTTTTCATTTTTAATGGACTAGAGGTCCAGGGAGTCAGATCAAAGCCCATTTTTTTTACCTATGCAATGAGTCAAGGCCAAAATGATCTCATCCACATATTCAATCTAAAAAAATAAGCTGATGGGGACACAAATCTCAGCTATTTATCTGCTTCCACTCATTCTCTAGTCTTCGCTTCCAGCCCCGGTACATCACCTCTCTAAAAGACCTACAGATTTCTCTTTCCCTCCCCAGTCAGGTCAAACTCGGGAAGAGCGGTCCTGCCTCCACAATTCTGTCTTGATGCCCTGGTGAGGCTGATGGTGATGGCACGACACCCATTGTACATACACGTGCCCCTTTGGGCTCACATTGCGTCAGTAGCAAATGCCACCACCCTTTCCATTTCACGTCACCAGCAGGCACTCCCCTAGGCCAACACCCCAGCGACCAACAGGAGTCTTTCCTCAACCGTTGCAATCCCAGACCTATCAGACTTGCTGTCCTCAAATCTATTCCTCTCTAGTGGATTCTTTTTTTTAAACAGTTTTATTGAGATAACAATTCACATACCATACAAGTTGCCCATTTAAAGTGCACAATGAGGGGCGCCTGGGTGGCTCAGTTGGTTAAGCGACTGCCTTCGGCTCAGGTCATGATCCTGGAGTCCCGGGATCGAGTCCCACATCAGGCTCCCTGCTCAGC